TGGAGGGGCGTCTCACCAACAGGACTGGATGGATGCGGCCTCAACAGCCATGATGCTGAGCATTCTCAGCCAGACGGGGCACTTTGTAACTGCGTGCGGCTGCCTTTGCCTCTGCCAGGCACAGGTTTGCGTGGGTGGTCCACCCAGGAGGGGGCCGTCGTCTCATGATCCTGCAGGTGACCGGCGGCCGGGGTGAACGCCCACCTGCTGCCGTGGTGAACAGCAACGTCATGACCAGCAAGACGAACGCAAGACTGCAAAGTGCCATTGGCGCACCCCTCCGAGCAGGTCTGAGATCCGTATCCAACGCGATCCCCGGGCACCGTCGATGTTTTGCAGCACGTCAACGGAGAAGAATAAACACTCTAGAATAAGTAATTTGATATCAATCTTACGACCAAATGTACTCGTCATGGCAAGGTACTGTGCCTGCAGCTGTCCAGCCACCAAGCAGGTGACTCCATATCACTCAGGACTGTGTGATCACTCCCCTATCACTCATCGTACCGCACCACCGCACGCGAATACACCCCAAAGCCACACCAAGCTGGTTGCCAATTCAGTCTTGAAGGTTGTATTCAGTCACACACGCCATGCATGCATACCGCCGTCCGCCTGTCACACACAGCGTTCGCTAGCGAACCCTCCATGGTCAGTCCCATGGCCCCGCACCTGCCACCAACCGGCGTCCCGATGTTCTACACAGTGTCTCCCCATCTACTGTAATCAGCCACCTTTGCGGCCTCCATCGGCAGCTAGCGGCCCCCGCACCTCGCGCCAATCACGCAGGAGCGCACTGCCCTCGCTCGCCTCTGCACAGCCCGCCGGCGCCCCACCCCGGTAGTACGGCAACCTGCGTGCAAGCAGCGTCATTAAGTGCCGGCCACCCCAAATCGCGCCTGCCTCGCGCGACCCCATCAATCCGACACCCTCCAAAGCCGATGTCCGAAGAATTGAATCGGCTTATTGATGGAGCTCCCTACCCAGCCCCACCTGCGCCCGCCGCAGGCACCTGCGCCCAGGGCCCCGCGGGGCCGGGAATACTTTCCTCGATTAATCGAAGAAAGTATTGTGCGCCTGCAGGCGTCATACCTCTGCTCTTTGTATTTCCAAGGCAGTGCCGCAACGCATTGACAAAAATGCCACTCCATGCACGTACAGTCATAGGGGCGTCACGCCCCTATGACTGCAAACCCAACGGTTGGGTTTGCAGGTTGCAGGTTGCAGGTTGCAGGTTGCATGTTGCAGGCACAGGACCCAATATGCCGCAGACGCTGCACACACCTGGCTGCAACCAGAGGAAGAGGCCGAGGTTGGTCGCTCTCGTGTATGTGCTGTGCAGACGTATTAGAGCCAACAAACGGGCGACAGATGTAAATCAACAACCAGACAAAATTCAAAATGCGACCTACCTGGATGCATGCTCCATGCATGTCAAGAACGGTTGGGGGCCTGTGGGTACAGCTTGGGGCTGACAGGGGCTCAGCCGCAGGCTGCCCGAAAGGTCGCTGACCGTACATATGGCCCAATGAGTCTGCACGCGAACCACAAGCATTACAGACACTTGCCACGGCCTGGGATTCTCAGAAGTGAAGCCAAGTATGCAAACCCGATCCGAAAACAATCCAATCACAAGCACAATTTGGGTGACACAAGGTGGAACTCGGAACATCAGGCAAGGGGGGCGTAATCATGCAGGTCGGGAGAAGGCTAATCAAGGCAGTATTGAAGGGGCGGGGCAGGGGTGTCGGCACGGTGCGATGGCACACCGGCCTGGAGTGGGACCAAGGCAGCGGGTCAGTCTTGGCTGCGCCAACAGGTAAGACAGCCGTGGGGACTGCTACCTTAGCACTTGTAAAGTGCAGCCATCCGCTAGCTGTGGCCCCGGCTGCGACCTCTGTGGGTGGCAGCCACACTGGCAGGCCTTGGGAGCCTGCTGACGAACATGGGAGCTGGGCACATCGTCCCGCACGCACGCTGGCAGCACGCAGCCGCTCGCACGCGATAACGTGCGTGATGCAAAAGCGCCTGGTCTCAGACCCCCAGGCTGCAGCTTGCGCATTTGGGGCACATATAGAGCTGTGTCGCTGCACGGCGTGACACACGCAATACCGTTGCCACACATACACCAGCCCGCACACGACCTGAGCGCGAGCCAGCCAGAAGAGCACACAAATCCACATACGCTTGCATGCGGCTGCAGACAATCATGATGGGTGCGCTGCAAAACCCCTGGCTGGGTGGGGGCCCCCTGGCTGGGTGGGGGGCGGATCCAGTCATATGCGCAACTTGAATGACGGTGGACCCGCAATGACCTGACAAGTCTTGTTTGGCTGCCCGCAGCCGCAGGCCTCTAAACCACGGGTGACGCACCTGCGCCGGCCCTGCAGGCTGCAGGGCCGGCCCAACCAGTGTGCTGAAGATGTGTGCGCACAGGGAGGAAGCAGCGACGCAGCGCCATGCCGGGTGTGCGTTGTCAGCATGTGCACGGCCCCCAGCCAGGTCGCCTGATCAGCACTTGAAAGTGTGGACGTAGTAGGAGCCGGCGTCAGCCGGGATTGTGACCTCCTGGAATCTGTAATCCTTCCCTTCGAACGACCACGGCCCCGCCGCGCCCCTCCAGCAGCGGCCGCCCCCGTCGCAGTCCTCGCCGCCGCGCTGCTGCGCGTACACGTACACGACGCGATTGTCGGTGCGGCCCACGTCCGCGGTGGAGCCCGCCGACACGACGATGACCCCGGCGGTGAGCCACTCGCCCCCCTCTGCGTCGCGCAGGTGGACTAGGGCCTCCAGGGTGGCGCCAGGGCACGTGCTGGTCAGCTTGAGCGCGATCGACGCGGCCTGCTCGGGCGCCGGCGCCGGCGCCGACACATCCTCCTCGAATAGCGCCCCTTCCGGCGCTGCGGCGCCGCCGGCGTACGCGCCGCGCCACTGCGCCGCGGAATGCCGCCCGCCGTGGGTGGTGTTCCTGTGATGACTGCCGCTCGGGGACTTTTTGGGGGTGGTGGACGCGCCCGACCCCTGCTTCTGAGATGTCGCGACGGACCCGATAGGTGGCGACAAAAAGGGCCGCAGTATTGGCGACAGCTGCGGGGAGGTGGCAACGCCGCCGCCGCCGCGGCTGGCTGCCGCGCCGCCGATGATGCTCGGCTGGTCACGGTTGCGACTCAGAAGCCCACTGGAGCCAAATGAACCCCCCAAGGTGCCCTGCCTGCTGAGACCGCCGTTTCCGCTGCTGGTGGTGCTGGTGCTGCCGCTGGTGCTGGTGGTGGTGGTGGTGCTGCGGCTTGGGTTACCGAGGCCGCCTGTGCTGATGCTGCGGGATGCAGCCATGGGGATGGGTTGGAAGATGGGCATTCGTGACTCAGCCAGGCCGCCGCCGCTGCCAAAGCCGCTGCCAAAGCCTCTGCCGCTACCAAAGCTGCTGCCGCTGCCGAAGCT